GGCCGGACCGAAGGCGGGCGGCGGAGTAGGCCGCCCGTGTGCGCGCCCCGCGGCCGGGGCTGGGCCGAGCGGCAGGCCGGGGATGCTCTCGCTGGGCCGGGCCTCCTTCTCAACTTAGGGCGGCGGCGGGCCCGCACCCCGGGCGCCGGGACCATGGCGCTGCGGGAGCTCAAAGTGTGCCTGCTGGGGGTGAGTGGCGGCGGGCCGAGCAGCGGGGGCCAGTGGGGCGGGCCCGGGCACCCTGCAGCCCGCCCCACCCGGGACGTCGCCCCCAGGTTCCGGGGTGCTCCGGGGCACCCCGGGGGTGTGCGATCCCACCCCGGCCGGGGCAGGCGGCCTGCAGGTAGTTGGCTCCCAACTTGTTGGGAGTTGGCCAAGTGTCCCAAAGTGCACCAATAGCCGGTCCTGGGCTTTGGGGGCGCCGCCGGCCTCCCGGCGCCTGCGGGGCATGTCTGGGAACTCCGGGGACGCACCTGACACTTCTCCAAAAGTTACTTTCCGAAGTCGCACTGCCCCTGGAGTTCATTGCAGGAAGCCTCCGCGACTTTGAAGCTTCCTGTCCGGTAGTTGGGCCTTTTCAAAGTCTTCTGAGGTTGATGCGCTCCTTCCTGAGTTTCTGTTTCAGTGACACAGAATTACAAAAAGTACTTTCCCTGCCCCTCCAATAGGGTGGGGCTAGGAGTCATCCGGACTAACCCGATTGCCCACAGTTTACATGTTAAAAAGCAAGTGATGGCGTTTTTTCTGAAGCAGAAACTTTGGGTCTCTCTTTCGGGATGGTCCTGGAGAGGGAACCTGGGATTTCTTACCTGCTAGGCAAGCACTTAGTTACTGGGCTCTGTCCCCCCCGCCTCCTCACCCCACCCCTTTTCATTTTGTATTGGTGTCTCAAGAAGTTGCCTTTAATTTACTGTGTCACCCAACCATCCTGCCTTCCAACCATCCTGCCTCAGTCTCCCAAATAGCTGGGATTACAGGCCTGCACCACCAGGCTGGCTAGTGTGGGTATCTCCCGAGTTCCTGGTGGCTCAGCATTAAAAACTGCAAAAACCCTTTGCCTATAATACATTTTGAAGTCTGTTTCACTGAATTTTTACAAAAGTCTGCCTTGTGTCCCTCAACTTATAATATTTACAGATGCCAGATGCGTTTGCTAAAGTCAAGAACTTTATGCTACAAAGTTGTTTTTGGTGTCTGCAAGCAGGTTAGCTTTTCCTCAGTCACCCATTTCACTCTCTTTCAGGATACGGGTGTAGGGAAATCCAGCATCGTGTGGCGGTTTGTGGAAGACAGTTTTGATCCGAATATCAACCCAACTATAGGGTAAGAAATCAAGTTTATTTAATATACATCTAAAGGTGCATGGAAAGTACTTGTAAGCAAAAGTGTGTTATTGGTTTAGTTCTTTTCGTCTTGTGCTCAGTGAATTTTGGTTTCCAAAAGGACCTGAACGAATACAGTGAGTTTGGGTGTCTCCTAGGAGTTATCTTAGACATTCAAAGAATGAGAACTTTAATATCTTACTTAGTATTCCTTTAGGCACAGAAGCTTCAGGCTGTAAATATCAACCACAATTACGCCTTGAAAGAGGGAGATGAAAACACACCCCGATACAGCCCTTTGGGCATCACAACTAAAAGATAACTAGATTGTTTTAGTCCTTGAAAAGAAGTCAAATTGTGTCCAAACCATTCTAACATTCTAACCCTAATGGCGATAATGAATTAATAGAAATGTTTGGTTTTTCCAGGACTCTGGTAGTTTTAGTCATTGAAGTTGATGGTCTATAAGAAGAACTTTTCTAACTGACATAAGGGAGGCCATGAGATTAACGCTAATAGTTTTTCTCTATGAGAACTTGGACTCTGTAGGCTACAATGCTACATTTTCGTACACTGTTTTATTCAGAAACTTCTGCCAGTCAACTATTTTTAAAGACTCATTTTGTGTTGTCCGCCATTAGGATACGTACTATACGGCTTTGTGCTCCATAGGGGTCGTTCTCTGTCCCATGGGCAAGCACTTTGCAGCTGTGAGGGAGCTGAGACCATTGCCTGAGAGTTTGGTATCTGCTTTGTTAAACTCTGGGTTTCTTATACATTTGAGGGCATGCAGATGTAATTCACCACTGTATCTGCAGTTAAAATAATGTCCTCTAAGAGAGAACTGGGTGTGTCCACATGTCTCAATGCCACCTCACCCTCCTTGGGGCCTGCGGGCACCTGCACTGCAAAGTGAAGCGTTGGGCAGTGGCAGCAAGAAGTGTTGCCGACTCAGTGGGTGACTCAGTGCTGAACCCAGAGCCCACAAGTTCTCAGGCACCACCTTCCTTAGTCTGCAGTGAGGAGAGAGAATGGAGCGGCGTGCCTTGCATCTTCTCCGCCTGTCAGAGGCTCCCACTCTGCCACAGGCTCCTGTCTTGGCTCACATTTTACAGAAAAGAAGATAACAAAGCCCTCTCTTCGCTTCCTTGCTGAGTTGATTCTTCCTCTGCCTCAGAAGGTGGCTCACTCTCTTAGGACCCACACACCTGTGGGATTCTGGATCCTGGTCTCCCTTACCTTCTCCCTCACCTTACAAATCCACTCCCCATCCACCCTGCTGATTCCAGGAAGACTGTTCCCCAGTGCTGCTGCTTAAACGGGAAGAGAAGTTGCTGCTTTCTCGGCTGCTACTTGTCCGCAGCCCACTGTCCTCACAGTTCCCCTTGCCATGGCACTGAGGCCACCTCCCTGGGTGCAGTCACGGTGGGAGCCACCACATACCCATCCAACCCAGGGGGTTTTCCAAAGCTTGCTTCATTCATTGAGTGCCAACCATGTGTCAGGTGCTGGCGGCCTAGGTGCTGGTGATTTAAACCTGAAGTCAGCAGCAAACTCGGGTCTCCTGTCTTCTCTGTAAATAAAGCTTTATTGACAATGGTTATACCTACCTTTACTGTTTCTAGGCTGTCAGGACCAAGGGAAGAATTGTGACTAAGATCCTGTGGTATATAGAACCAGGCACTCTGGCACATTTATTTAGTTATTTATTTTTGCTTTTTGAGACAAGGTCTCATGCTAGCCCAGGCAGGTCCAAAACTTACTATGTAGCCCAGACTGACTTAGCCTCCTAAGTGCTGGGATATCAGGCCATGAGCCACCACACACGCTCTGGCACTTTTCAGAAGACATTTCTGACCCCAATTGGACACATGAAGCTTCCCTATAGGCACGGAGAGGTATGCCTGTAACTAGTGCGCAGAGAATGACTCTTCTACCTTTTTCTGAGCTGCCAAGGAGATACACACGGGCTGTTGTTGAGCGTGCACAGCAGGGCTGTTCTTATGCTGGGAATGCCCAGTCCTACAGGGTCTGAGGAGAAAGGGAAGCACATAGCAATGGCATTTAAATATTAGAAGGTGAGTGGGTTATAGTTTAACAAAGACTTTAAAAAAGCAGATATTTGAAGAGAAATTGCTTACCAGTTGGCATTGAGAGGTAGTGCGAAGTGGCCTGGAGGGTGCTGGGAAGGCAGAGAGAACAGCCAGGTGGGGGGAGGGTCAGAAGACCAGCATGACCATAAGACAGAGTAAGAGCTGGAAGAGTGGCCAGGGAGGCTGGTAAGGCAGCAAGGACCCAGGTGTGGAGCCAGAGAGTTAGGGGAGGATCCCATTGCACAGATGCACATGGACAGCACTGCCATCCTCCTCAGACCCTGTCTCCACCTGGGCTGTGCTCCTCCGGTGTGCTTGGCCTCTACTGATGAGGCACACGTTGGTCTTCCTCAAATTGTGTCCTCTCTGTTCCCACAGCTCCCTTTCACTTGGGTCATGTGACCCAAATCAGCTTCTCTAGGCCTTTCCTTTGGCCCTTATCTCCAGCCCAAGATTTTAACTTGGGTTCCCTAAGGAACCCGGTATCTGTCTCTAAATATGTGATCTTCCCCAGTGGCACAAGTGGGTTGTGTAGTGAGGAAGAACCTGTGTCACAGAGAACCTTCCTGTCACGGACTTGAATCAGGACCTCAGTGAACAGTGACTGGGAGAATTTCCATGTGAGTGGCCAAGCTTCTGTTGACATTGGGAAATCTGATTCAACCACATGCTACGGCTTCATCTCTCTCAGCCCCTATAGAATACAGGTGTAGAAAATGAAGACCCCCCCCCCAAATCCCATTGTGAGCTATGGTGACCCTTGGAAACTCACTGCGGTGCCAAGTGTGTTGGAATAGAATGGTGGGTAGTCACTGCTGTATGGATGAGTCCCACAACAGTAGCAGCACCAAGTCCTCTCCTAGAGCCAACCTTAGAGTAGATTTCCCTCACCACATGGCCTGTGCCCACAGACACCTGGGAACACTGCATGCTTCTGACCAAGCTTGGAACAACCCCTGAGAGTCTTGGAGCTCTGCTTTCTTCCCATGGGTAGCAAACAGGACTAGCATGTCCTCAGATACTCACTCCATCAATCTGGGCATCTTTCTCAAGTGCCTCTTGAGCCACTGTCTCCTCCCACCAGCAGAAAGTCACCAGCTCCTGTCCAAACCACCCCCTAAATGTCATCCAATGTGGAAGCCTTCAGAGTAGAACCCAGACATGAATCTCTTTGGATGACAGCTCTGTCACTTGCTGGCCAGTTAGTCCTGGCCAGTTGACTCTAGTCTATTTCTAATAAGGACCATAACAGGACCAGGTCCTTGTTTTTGGGAAAATCTGAGATAATGCAGCTAAAGTTTATAGCAAAGGGCCAGGGACATTTAGCCCAAAAACTGGTAATTATTTTATTTGGTTGGATTGGCTTTTGTTTGTTTTTATGGTCCTGGGGATTGAATCTAGGACTTTGTACACATTGTAGCCAAGCACTTCATGAGCTATGTTCTTCTCTCCCCACTCTCTCTCTCTCATCCCCCCCGCAACCCTGCCTTTTTTGGTTCTTTGAGACAGGGTCTCACTATATAGCCCAGCCTGGCTTGAAACCCACTGTAGGCTACAGCTCAGGCTGACGAACTAATGGCAATCCTGCCTCTGCTTTCCAAATGCCGAGGTTACAGGGTTCAGCTCTGAGCCCTCTCAATTTTGAAACAGGTTCTCCCTGAATTGCTCATTCTTGCCTTGAACTCATTCTGTAACCCAGACAGGTCGAGCTCCTGATCCTCCTGCCTCAGTCTTCTGAGTAGACGGATTGCAGGCATCTTCTACTATGCCTAGCTTGAAATTATTTCTGTCAATGTAATATGCATGTGGTTTGTGAACTAGTGCTTGGACTAGGTGGTGCATTCCTATAATCCCAACACTAGGATGGTGGGAACAGGAAGATGGGAAGTTCCGGGCCAGCCTGGGCTACATAACAAGACCCTAGTTGAAGAAGAAGAGTGGTATTTCCAATAGGAACAGCGTTTATCTAACCGCCACTGTCTACTCTGACCCATTTCTTGGAAGCAGCACCATTGTGGCGTGTGACTGTTTTCTCACCCTTCCTCCAGACTCCTTCACAGCATGCGTAGGCTGATGTTCTTGAGCCCCTCCCACCACCACCAATTTTAGGCAGTATAAGCTGATTTTTCTCTTTAGAGCAGGGACTTGGCTCTCTGTCCTCCCTCCATGTTTATATTACACTTGTCATTGAGTCACCACATGGCACAACATTTAAATGCAGCCTTCACTCCAGGCTGACTGCCTTCTTTTCCCAGCCCTACCACCTAGGTGTTTTGTGGACTTGGATGAACTTCTTTGTGACTGAATTTGCATGTTCAGGGATACTCTGTGATGGCTAACTTAAGAGGGTTGTAAAAACTGAGTTAAACCTGGGCTGGAGAGATGGCTCAGCGGTTAAGAACACTGACTGTTCTTGCAGAAGACCCAGGTTCGAATCCCAGCACCCACACGGCAGCTAACAACTGTCCATAACTCCAGTACCAGGGAATCCAGCAGCCTCTTCTGTCTTCCGCGGGCATTGCACAACACAGGTGCACTTACCTACATGCAGGCATAACACTCATACACATAAAATAAAAAATAAAATATTTTTTTAAAAATTTGAGTTAAACCATAAAAATGACTTAGCGTGGTACTTGGCATATAGTAGGTGTTTTCTTAGCAGTTATTTTTTAATAAACTTGTGACTGTAGTTTTTAATTATACAAATGAAATTATTCTGTATATAGTGTCCACTTGTAAGTGTTGTAAGTTTGGCCAGTTTGATGTGTGCATTCATACGATTTCGTGTAAAGTGTCCCTGTGGCTGAGACACCACGGTTTGTCACGGTTTGTCACCTCTGCTGCTGGGCCTGTGCTCTCATTTGGGAATACCACATAGAACTCTGCCGTGAGCATTCTAGTGCAT